ACTCATACACAAGATGATCTTTGCCGATTCACTTTAATTGACTGGTTAAATTGTACATCAATTATACTTGTATTTATGTGTTTATCATTTTTTATTTCACAAGATTATCGTTTGATTGGTTTGCCACAGAAACAAGGTTTCAATGGTTACAACTGAGCAAAGTAAAATTGATAACACAAATGTAACCATAAAGCTTCTCAGTAATAATAATCATCATGAGTACAAGAAAATGTTGCTAAGACTTTTAGATTGCAAGTTTTTTTTCATTTGTTTGCCTTGTATCAAAATATTGGTAGATTTACTCGTAAAGGGATTGATAATCAAGTTACACTCGAGGCAAACTTTTTTTTACGCTTTTTTGCTTCTGATTCTTATAAAGATTATTACTTTTCCTTTCCTCTTCCTTATCAACTTAGCCTTTCGTACTTTATTTTTTTGCTTTTTGCTTCAAGTCGATTCTGCTTTATTTGCTCTAATCCATCAAAAGGACCAGGTTTACTGACAAAATTATAAGATTGACCAAATATTAATAACATCGAGAAGGAATGAGTGAAAGGTTCCTTTTTTCACCAATTTTCTTCCCAAGCTGAACAAGTTGCCAAAGTACTTTTCAATAGTTTTCAAAAATCTGGTTCCATAACTGCACGAAAGGCGATCCAAGTTTCAACTTTAAACTCGAAAACTGTTGGTCAGAAAAAAGGATTTAATTGCCTAAATGGACTCGAGTTTTTATGAACCTACCTTATCCAAGTTGAGATTCTTGATTGTTGACTCGAATCAAAAAGTTGAGCGTTTACTTCTTATCGATGCAAACAAATGCATGCTTGATGAATTCACGACAACAATGCAAAATAACCTGATGAGACATTTTCATATGTTTGACTCGACAGTGAATTGAACCTTCAGATTAAATTGTGAACCTTTACTTTTGTCTCAGATTTTAATGTTCACCCAAGCTGATTGTCAATTATTTGTGCTCTTTTATTTACTGGCAGTTTTCATGGTAAAGCATGAGAATGGTCAGATGATTATGATAGTGATGATTAAAGATTACCAGAAGATGTTTCTCTAAACCATTTCTTTACAACAATAATCCAATGATTGATGGTCAATCAACAAGCGCTTCTTCCAGTCATTCAAGTGTCTTCCTCAAAACATTATGCCTTTTCAATTTACTTGAGCTACCTTATTTTCATCCAACAATCTCCATCTCTATCTTCAATGTCTCTCAATTTTGCTTCATATCTTTCATTTTTCTCATCTTTCTATCCTCTTCTCTCTCTCTCTCTCGCCTTCTTTCCCTTTGACAATCTTTATTCAGCTCAATTCATTGTTCATACCGTTGTCTCCATGGATTCAATTAATGTCAAGAATTTTATGCCCTCAGAATAGAGCAAGGCGGACAAAATGGTGAAAGAAATTTATCATCAACAGATAAAAAAAAGGAGAAAGGCTTAAGTTTACTCATTATCTGAAAATTTATTATTTTCATTAAAGGTGATCTTGATCAAAATACCCTGATCAAGCAAAAGTAATTTCAATTTGCAACAAATTCTCACCGCCAAACAATGTCGGTTCATTGTTTAACCATTGTCAATGTAAGGTTAGGTTCGGTTAGGTTAGGAAACCAAATGAATAACAACAAAGAGCTTCATGTTTGTTAAAGATGTTTAATTGGTGAACCTTTTGCTGTTCATCTTTTGCTCAATATTAAATGTCTTTTTGGCCATTTCTGAGACTTGCAGGGTAAACTTGCACTCTAATCTTGACCCATTACCATTGATTATTATTGATTGTAGCAAAAAGCCATTTAAAAACAAAACAAGACAAAACTGTTGGTCCAAGTTGTTTAAAGGTAAATGAAAGGTTAAACCAAATGATTGTGCTCAAAGTAAAAGCAAACTTTCATCTAATGGATAGTAATGACGACAAATGAAAGGTGATTGCTGTAGACTGAAGATGATGAAAAGGGCAAAAATAGAGAGCAAAAAATTAGATGATCAAGATGAAGAAGACGATGGAAAGGAAATAAGGTGAGGAATGATGAATCGGCAAAGACCTTTGATTTATCTCTTCTCAACTCAATTGGGCCAAACTGTGTATTTAAGGGCAACTCTGAGAAAAGGTAACAAGGTAAACATGATGATACAATTTAACTAAACTACTCGCAACTAATTTAACCATTTTTCTTTGCACATTTGCTCTTCTCTTACCCATTCCATTCATCATCATCTTTTGTCTTTCATCCTTTCCTTTTCCCTTTCATCTTCATCTCCATCATTATATTAATATCTTTGTGTTTACCTTTAATTCACCAGAGACATTATATGTTACATTAGAGTCACAATATTTGTACAATGTCATGTAGCAAAGATAATGTCATGAAGAGAAGAAGAAGAAGCAAAAAAAGATGAAACAAAAAATTCATAATGAAATGCTCATAATCATGTAAAGTTACTCATTTCAAAGTTTCAACTTTTTCCTTTTCTTTCCATCTTCACATTGACATCAATCAACAATTACATTGAACTTGAAAATTAACTCTACTCTTTACTCGTTCATCATTAACTTTATCAACTTCAACATCATTAGATATTAGATTTTTTCATCTTCTTCTTCAGTCAACCTTTCCTCATCTTCATGTTCATCATTTTTTTGGCCAACATTTTTGTCTCGCTTACCAAGTCTATCAAGTTTACCTTTTTTTTTCGTCGAGTCTCACTTTTCACTTCTTAACCTTACCTTTTTTTGCCTGCAAAAACCTCCTTTTCCTATTATAATTGTCAGTTGATCAACTGAACAGTTGACAATTTTAGTTGACTCTTTATTGGCAACACTCAATCAATGACAACAAAACAAAAAAAGCTTTCAATTTCAACTTTTCTCTGTCACATTTGTTTGCCCAACTTGCTGGTCTTTTTGCGTCTCTTTGGTTATTTCATAACTTTTCAGGGTAAAATTGGTGAAAATGTGAATATTGTAAACTGTGAATATTGGCCAATGAATCAAGACCAACTGTAGCTTAGCCATTGTCCAGTTAATGGATGAAAATGATGATATTGATGAATATTGACAGCTCCAAAGGGATGTTACATTTGTGTTTGTTATCAATACTGGCAAGTTTCTTGCGATCAAATTGATTTTCCTTTTCTCTTCCATCTTCATCTTTTCTTCCACTTCTTGCCCAACAACAGCCATCAACATATCAATGATTGATTGAGAAAATAATCATCTTTAATTGCCTTTTCATTGATTCATTTCACAAATCAAATTTAAAATTAACCTTCACCAGAACAATGACAACAGACGAACCAGTTAATCAAACAGATTCATGCAATATTTGAGTCTAAATTTGAGTCAATTGCAAGTTTCATTTAAAAGATGAATTAAGACAATTTAGTTATTCATGAAGGAAAAGATTGATTTTTTTTTCATTTCATCTTTTCAGCCTAAAGTGAACAATAAAAAAGGTTCATTGGAAATTGTTTGACACAAGAAAAGATGTGACAAAGGTAAATAAGGTAAAATGGTGATCATATTGATGATGATGATAATGACTTTGACAATGAAGCCAATGGAAGGTAAAAAGAGTTAGAATGCTTCAGGGTTTTACCTGAACAGCGACTAAAATGACAATGTTATTTATCATTATCACAGTTTCCTTTTCCTTAACAAACTTTCATCATCTTTCATCATCTTTCATCATCCTTCATCCTTCCTCATCTTCAATCATCTTCAATCATCTTTATCCAGAAAACAAATTTCTCTCTTCAACCAAAATTTCAAATGTCAAATCACAATTTAAAGCAAACCAGCAACAGCAAACATTCAGAGAAGGGTTAGACTCTGAAACGATTAAATAACTTTATAATTTCATATTAATATCCAATTTGAATGCAAGAAAATTTAGAAGAAAATTGATTCAGAGAAAAGATTGAAACTGAAAAAAAGAGCGACCCTAAAAATTGAATTCATCTGGCGTCTTTGCTCTTCAATTGAACCTTTTTTTTGTAATAAATATCAACTTTCCCAATGTATACAGCAATGACAATGAAAAGGATTTGCTTGTAATAATAAAAAATAATAAGTAAACTCTTCTTTTTTTCATGCCAAAACTCTGATTCTTACAATTGAACTTTTCCAAAAGAAAAGAAGAACTTTCAATTGACAAAATTCACCATCTTCACCATCATCATGATCATCATTGTCATCTTCATTCCATTGTAAAGTCTCTTTCTCTCTTCCTTGTCTCTTCATTGAGAACCAGTTTTGGATATATTTCATTGAACCTTTCAAAACTCAGCATGAAGTCAAGGGAATGAGATAGTTCAGTGTGTTAATGTTTTTATCTACAACAGTTCAGCTCAAATAATCAGGGGAAAAAAGAAGTTCACAATTTTACTCTTCTTCTTCTTGGCGATCATCATCATCAACATCATCTTCATGAGCAATTTTTTTCTCTTCTCTGGTTCAATATTTTTGCCTCAAAGGAGACTTAGACTTATGTTGATGAAAAGTGCATCTTCTGTGTATAATAATAAAAAAAGGCAACATTTTTTTTATTCACTGGTTAATGCACATTGATTCATATTCATTGAATCAGAATTGATCTTTCCAATCAGCTTTATTATCTTCTTTTCATTTCTTTTCTTCTTCGCCTTCGCATTATCATTATGTTATTGACACTGTACACTGTTTACAGCCTTTAAATAATGCAGTATTGATTACATTCATTGTTGTCATTAAGATGTTCACAAAGGTTGAAACCTTTAAATTTTTAACTCATTTTACTTCAGCTTCAGCCTCTTGTCTTCATCTTGTCTTTTCACTTTAACCATTCACTAATTAACTAACCATTGTCAGGTTAATTGTAAACATTGCCTTGTTTGTTTATTTTGATTGTTGTCTCAACTTTTTACAATCACTTGAGTCAATTTTCACTGATTTATTGTTGTCTTGCAATACCTTTAATCATCTCGTTTTATTCATTGTTTTTCTAGTTGCTGGATGTCCATTGAAGGTGGAATGATGTTTTCCTTCATTGTGCCTGTTTCATTGCTTATAATGGTAAGTAAAGCTGTTGGTTTAGTTGAACAATTCAATTTTTGGTGAAAAATCATGTTCCAGAAACTCTGTGGGGTAACGTCATCTAGCGAGTTGCAATTGAATTAGCTTTGGTTTCTATTAGCAACAGTTTGGGTTTTTATTTTTAACGGTTTTGGCAAAATTCTGGTTTGGTTACCTTTTTTTATCGATACAGTGAAAGATTCGTGATGATACAATTTGTGTCATGTTATTTCGTCCCTCAACTGTAATCAATGTCGTTTTATTGGTGTTCCTGGATAAAATAAAATGACTTGGAAATACCTTGAAATAGCTAATTACTATTTTTAAACATCATTCTATGTGGTGATTACTTTGATAGATATTGTTGCTTAAACATGTTAAACAAATATTTTTAAATCTGTGATTTTCCATTTCAGGAAAACTTGCTTCTGATAGTTGATTTACAGTGGTCCGGGTTTTCGTTTCTTTCCAAACTTTCCTCAATTATGTTATTGTGTAAACAAGTAGTGATGGTTAAATAATGTATCTAATGGAAAGATCAAATGTCTTTCGTTTTCAACTAAACCGGAAAATCTTGCAGCCATTAGCACTCAAATCTGCATTATTATATGCTCTTTGGTATTTTCATCTAATTTAATTGTTGATTTTTTTTATAAATTCTAGTTTCTTAATTTAAAAGGAAATGCATTGGATAAGCACGGCCACTGTTCAAATCTAAGCAAAAGCAAAATAATCAGAAGGTTAAGTGATAGTTAAACCACTGCATCGAGAAGTTATGAGATATAAACTCGAGGGCGAAGCCCGAGTGTTTTATCTCATAACTTCGAGATATTGTGGTTTAACTGATTTAAACCACTATGTAATCTAATCTCAACACCTTTTTTTAATTTTCAAGACAAAATTTTCTCTTGGTTTTCCATTGCTTTCAATGGGTTTTCCTATTTTCATTTTAAGTTTCTTATCATTTTCATTTTAATTTTTATCAGGTCTAATCACTCTCTTTATCTCTGTCTTAGACCAAACTGTGCCTATTTAGTTAACAGTGTTAGTTAACCATCAAGTTAACCAATTTCAAAATAGCGTCAGATTATACAATATAACCATTTGATTAAATACTGGTTACCCTAAACGTAGTGGTTTAAAGATGATTAAGTAGCAATACAAACTTGACAATAATTAGATTTACCAATGCGAAACAAAATATAAACACTTTTTAGGTTGACTTGTTAGGCAAGTTGATGAATCTACTAGAGCTTCTGATGGGCGATAGTTCATACAGAATCAGAGGATGAGCATTTAAATTATACTTAACAAGCTTTACGTAGTCGGAATCAACAATTTGTTCTTGATAAGAGGAAGCAAATGATATGAAGAAAATTTAAAGAGAAGATAAAAACTGAAATTTTTCTATCGAACAATATTAAGCATATCGTCCGACTAGTTATGGTACCGGTGATGGATATTTCATTCGAACATCTAGTATATCAATAGTTTTATAAAATTATATAGAAATCCTGAAACATGATAATGCAAAATTCCAATGAATTAACCAGATGTTTCAATTCTTACAATTCTTTTATTTAAATAATTCGGATTACATCAAATCCATTTTATCATTGCAAAGTTGAGTTGAGGCCCCATTCATAACAAAATCAATAACTAGTGATGCACCAAACGAAATAAACTTCAGTATACTAAATTATTAAACTACTTTATTAGCATCTACGCTGCATCGAGGCCATCAACGCTTTTTAGTCGCACCAACGTCAACTTTGGCAGTTCCATCTACTATTTTATCTTCGGCCACATTTGCCACCACCCTTCTTTTTCTTGGCGTCTGAAAGATGACCAGATAAAACAATGAGAGCAATGAAAAAGATTAGAGTCACAATTTTTGTCAATTGCATTTTGACTTTTTAAATTGAATCACTCAAAATAAAACCTCGTGTGTTTGAAACTTTAACTAATAACTTTACATCTGACATTCCTTTTTGAGTTTATGGCTTTTATACCCAACTTATATTTGCTTAATAAGTCACCTTTTCCCATTTATTGCCGTCTGATTGATCATACCAAGGTGCGAAGATGCTGTCTTTATTGTAATAAGCACGATTCATGTTTATTCAACTTCAAATTTTGATAAATTAATATCAACCAAGTTGTTTAATGTCATGAAAATTTGTTCATACGACTTTCTTCAACACTTCCAAAATCACATCATCCAAACCGAAATTCTGCCAAATTATCAAGTAAATTACTTCCACATTTTCGTATTTTAATGTTTCAAGTTATCTCAATTTGTTGCTAAAGTTGCTATTTGACTTGAAAGACAACCATTTCTGTTGGTTTTGACCAAATTTTGTGGTAAATTCTTATCCTTTTTCAACTAATTGACTTTTCTTGTTCATTTCAGAGCAACACTGTAACCATGTTGTTGATATTGAAACGCTTCTTTGCTTACAAGCCTATTACACACAAGATTGAAATTGAACGTGTTGAACCTTCACTTCGATCGGGTGTATCGTTGTTGCCCTTTTTTGCTGTCAACTGGTTTTTAAGTGTATTAGCCTTAGAGGATACGGCGACAAACATTTTTCAATATTTATTCTCATTTTGTAATCTAATTCAGCATCTATTGATTTTCCTATTCCACTGTTATCAAAGACCTGAGGTGAGTAAATTAAGCTTTTAATAAACAACATTTATCATTCACGAAAAAGGGTTTTCACTTGAAATCAAACTCCAGCAACTTGAGGAAAAGGCAACAGGAATAACCCAAAATACCAGAATCTACAATCTAGTTAATTAGCTTGTTATGTCATCAATTACGTTAGCATAATATTAGATTGCAGATATCAGTTAATCAGAATTTTGTTTACCATTGCCGTTATTCAAATATTTTGAATTTGATTTTATATTACAGATGGTTTTGTAGATTGACTTGGAAACGAATTGCTTTTTTCCTCTGATATAATTTGAAAGATTGTCATTTATTTACAATAGATTTTTGATTTATTAAACTTATTCAATAATTCAACTCTCAAAGTTAATTATGTGAATATTTGCTTTATTTTCGAGTCACAAGCCTCAATAGTTATGTATTTTTAACCAATATTGATCTGGTTTTACTGTTTTCCTAATGTTATTACCTTTTCCATTTTATTTATTCAGATTCATCAAATATTCGCAATCTATTTCTATAATGGTAATTATAATCGGACCGACAAGTCTAACCTGAAATCAAAGAAAAATTATTGGTGTTCAGCAAATTGTGCCACTGTACCTTTGTTGATCTATTCAGATGATGGATCTAACCGATTACCAGACAACTGTTTCGAGGATCCTGCTAGTGACATGGGAAGGTTAAAAGATCAATGATAATTAGCTCAATTGATAATCGAGACTTGATTGACTCAACCAATGTCAATGTCAATGGATTAAATATGATTATTGATATTGTTAATCAATAATTGGCGGATTATGGAAAGCAAAATAACGTCTCAACGATCATCAGAGTGCCAAAAATGACTCCAATTGATTTAGCTGTAATCTGGAAATTTCAGCTTCTCAATAGATCATCTCATCTATAATGAAAATAATCATCAAAATGAATAATTTCACATCAGTTATTCTGATAAAACATGAACGTTTAGTCAACTCTTTTTTCCTTTGGATTAACTCAGTCTTATTTTCCTTGTCCTTTGTCCTTTAATCGTCATTAAATCATGATTTTATTGTCCAAAACGTGATAATTATTCAAATTGTTTAACTGCAAGAAGAGACAAGAATAAATTATTAAAAATTCAATTTAAACAAAAAGGTTGATTCAATAATCTGTTCATAACTTATGGAGCTTGTTAAAGTTACCCGAAACCTTCTTGAAAAAAATACAATTGATCCGCAGCTTTTAAAACAAGAGCTAATTAAGAGCTGATTTCAATTGAATTAAAATTGAAATGTAAATTCATCAAGCTAATCAAACTGTAAAATTAAGTCAATCAAGTCAATTGGAAAGCTTTCGTTTGCGGAGGAAAATTATAAATTGGAACAATTGACTGGTAAGATCAAAGCTTCAACGTGTCAAAATTGGTGTAAAAACAATTGAAATAATTAGAGAAAAGATTATCGGAAAGAAATTCTGAGGATAAAATGTTGTGAAGCATAACGATTAGGATAAGAGGATAAAGGGTTAGTTACTGATGGTTTGGGTTCAAAACAGAGAAAGACAAAACAGCGAGAGACAAAATAGCGAAAGCAAAATAGAGAAAGTCAAAACAGCGAAAAACTCTATGCGCATGTGTAAGTAAAAAGAAAACACAAGAGATGGCGCTAGAAAAAAAGTTTAATTCACAGAGAATCAAAGTTTACACAGGCCAATCGAGCCATTAGGGCATTTTAGATATTATTTAATTAATGTTCAACGACATTTTAATGAAGGGTCAATGGCGACGCGCATAGATTAGACAAGCCGTTTTGTACTGCGCATTAATTTATTAAACTTGTATAATATTTAACTTTATCAAGAAATTCTATGACCGAAATGCGATTTTCCGTGTAATCTTCCGTCAGAATAGCAATTCTGGCATCAATATCCCGATACTTCTTATTCTGAGGTGGACGAGATCCATGGGCAGCGATCAGAATTTGCACTTCGTAATTGTTTTGTTGTTTAATTAGATTTTCAATATATTGATATAAGTTCGCGTGATTACGACCGACGGCTTTGTTTAGTCCATGATGCCATCCTTCAACATGATTATTGGTTCTCGGGTCACTATCTGCATAATGATTCCATATTTCTTTCGGGAATCTAGGGTCACCATACAAATATGTGTCTCGAAGTAGGTCAAAAAACCAATCATATCATCATCGTCTGGCGCTGAGGCCTTTATTGCATTGTACGCATCAACAATATCTTCGGTTTTCAGAAATGGCAGAGCCGATATTCTTTTAACGGAGAGTTTAACATTGTCATCATTGGCCTTGTAACGATTTACCAAACCGAATTTACCAACATTTCTCCATAGACTTTGGCTGAAGTGAAATAGGCAGCATTTCAATTCGCAGAATGGGAAAATTATATTGATTGCCTTGATTGTGGCAATTTCGAAGTCGGTCGTAAATTTTGTTGGCTGCCAGATCAATCCCAAACTTGTGCAAGCATCTTGAACTAGCCTGAAAAGTCTGATATAAGTTTGCATAGAAGCGTCTGGTATCAAGGCGTAAACGACGGGAATCATGACCTCATTTCTCATTACATGAAGAGTATAGAGAGAATGGAATAATAGCGGAACACTCTTGAAAGTCCCATCGGCGTAAACATGATTCGCTTCACACAAATGACGTAAAAAGGCATCAGTAGCGAAAAAAAGAATTTTATCATTACCACCATCTGAAACTTTGAAAAACTTCTCCGTGGAGCTGAATTGTAGATTAGAAGGTATTTCAATATCGTTCAATGATTTAGGCAAACTTGGGAAACGTGAAGCTCGAGCTCGAGCAATTGTCCTCTTCATATGATGAAAACTTTTCAGGGCCGGAGCGATTTCCTCTTGAGGCACTGGAATTGTGTTCAAAACTTTGTTAGTTGCACTGTGATAAGTTAATTTCAAATTACAATAATTATCACTTTTAGCAATCTCTTTTGCAGCATTTCTTTGCTTAATTTCAATTAACTTTGCAGTATCTGGTTCATGAGAGTGTTCAGTAATAGAAGAAATGGTATCACCAATTAAATTAACTTTGCCTTTACAATTTGGCTGAATGCATGACCAATATGATTTATCATCAATTACTTTGGTCTTTCGATGGATGTTATTGCACAAAACTAAAAAATTGCCACCTTTGTTGGATTTAATTAGTTCATAATTAGCCATGATTGAGTAAAAAATTTGATTGAAAAAGATTGAATAAAACAATGAAAAATTGCCAACTAAATGAATTGAACAAGTTTAGTTTATGATAAACAAAGCATTGAGTTACCTTTCACCTAATTCTATGAAAATAGTTTAATCAGTTTAATTGTTAAGCTTCTTTAATTTAAACGCCTTATTATCTTTCGCTATTTTGGCTTTCTCTGTTTAGACCTTCGTTATTTTGACTTTCTCTATTTTGGTTTCTCTGTTTTGACCCCTTACCGTTACTGATTGTTACTCCAGCTAAGATAATAAATAGGGAAAAACAATTGATTAGTGATACATTATTAATAATGTTATGTGAGTTCAGTTTCTTGTTTAACCTGAGTTGTTGTCATTGAAATTGAAGAGTGTTTCTATGATGACAATTGGTAAGCAAGAGTCATGAATTTAAGTTTTCAACAGCATTGATTGGAGTTTTATCGTTTCCTTGTTCTGAAGAGATGGAAAGATTAAAGCCTAAGGATATCCAATGATTGTTAAAGAAAAATGTTGAGATGCAAAAATCTATTTATAATATTATACTGATAGGAATGCATCGACAAGCCAGGAAACCACTCTAATGTACGATTTGCCCCATTGATATAAAAAGAGTTGGATTTAGGTTCGACTCTTGAAAGGTGAGGTGATTGAATCAAGAATTGTGAGAATCGTTTGAGCACCGATAATCAGACCACCAGATATGATTTAGTTAGACTATTGAACAATCAACTTGACATGAAACACAGAATAAGCAGATTTCTTTTCCAAAGATGAACACATTTATTTTTCATCCGAGAATGGCTGTATAGAGAGATGAAAAAAGTATAAATTAGATTGGAAATGGTTTTACGTTTGACGTTAATGGTAGCTGATAAAAATGATGGTAATTTGATTCCTTAAAATCAAAAATTTTCCTTTAAGAAATTAAATTATCTCCATTGTCCGTAGGACAAGAATTTTGAATGTTTAAATTGAAAGTTAAACATACTCGTTTTGATTGCCATTCAATTTGGCATTGCTTCCTCGTACAACAGATTGTCAATTAGTTTACAATTCAAGGTAATCGGGAATCGTATGAACAGCTTGCAGCTTGATATAGATTTAATGTTAGAAGTAATCGTTGTTACTAGTTGAGCCCCTTTGACGTTAACCTGATGATGTTGATCATCATGTTATTCATTCAAGCTGAATTTTTAATCCTCTTCTTTGACTGCATAACCTTTGTTTCTGGGTAAACAAGAAATTTTGAGAGTTTGTAAACATCGTCTGCGTCATTTCTTCCTTATTTTCACTGAATGATCGTCATCAATAGGTGCATGTAAAGAGTCCTAGAATTTTCATGGTATTAGTCTTTTGAACTTAAAATTCTCCATCATCATCCCTACCACCAAATGGTTTCTTAAGTCCCATGATTTTGTCCCTTTCCAGCCTAGTGATCAGCTTGTTGAAAGCAATGGAGAAGTCCAAAGATCACCAATTCCATCAGGCTTTAATTGTTCTGCTTGTTGAGACTTTCCGACTATTGTGTCATTGATGTGCACGAGGATGAAATTTATCTGGTAAAAAAAGGAAAAAAATATTAGATTAATAATGTCTCCAAAATATAAGAAGCAAATAATTCAATAGCTACTATTATATGATAAAATACTATGAAAGAAGCAACCCTTTGACTCTTCATGTCTCATGATTAAACTTTGGAATTGAGTTGGACATTGAATCTTACTATAATTTACATCAAGATAAGGTTATTACACATGATGATAGACCAAGGAACTCTCTTGAAATTAGAACAAACAAGCTAGAAATAAAGGTAAATAAGACTTTTCCTTCAACAAATCATGCACAATCCTTTGGATTCTTGAACTGGAATAAACCTCAGTTAATGAGGGAACACATGCATCACAATAAGTACACTTGTTAAAAATCTTGGAACGTTTTTATTTTCAAAACATCCAAATCAATTAATAATACTTCAAGTTTTTGAAATGACAAAAATTAAAAGAAGGGTAAACAAAAGCCTTGAGAAGCGCAATTTTCACTCACGTGAAACTGTACATCAGATGTTAAATCTTCAATGATTGTTATAAGGTTACCTCAGTAAATTTATGTTTACAATCAATTAATATGCGATCAGATAGAAATTAAAAAGCTTCAGTTATACAAAAAAATAGTTTTTTGTCTAAATTAAACAAAATACAATAAATTTGGTAATCCTTTAGGTTCAAATAAAGCGGTTATCAAAATAACTTAGAGAATGCGTAAAGAGGTTACAGAACATTGCATCATTAGTTTATTTTTGCTGTTCCAAACAACTGATTAAAGTGGGTTGAGTTTAACAAAACAATCACGCTATTATAATTTGTTGATTCCACATCAGACCACTATTTTCATCATCATAATAATTCGCCCTTTTTCTCACTGAATTTCATCATGTAATCCAATCTCTGGTTTTGTTTATATGTTTGGCTTCTTCAGATTTTCATGGTGAGAGTTGCTCTTCAAGCTAACAATATTTTGATGAATCACATAAATTGATATCATATTTAACTTTTCTATTGTTTTTTTTCACCCTTCTTATTTCAGTGTCATTGTATTGAAATCTATGATCAAATGGAGGAGATACTGATTCTGTATAACGAAGTGGATGGTTTGTTCATGAACACAGTTTCACTCTCTCCAAGTTGTTGGCCTTAGGCTGTACCAATCTATTTACCTGGAACAGATAACCATCATGAGATTACCTTTAAAAGACTGATTAATCAAGGTTAATCTTCCTGTAAATCAACAATAAGAGTGTCACACTATTTACTTACTTGGTTTATTGGTCCATACATGAGCTGCATTATTAATGGGTTGCGCCAAAACCGACTCAAAAAAAACAACTGATATTGTTGGCGATAAAATTTATTGGACTGATTAACAGTATTACAACGACTGATTGGAAACATCAGGATATTAGATTATATGATGGAAAGCTCCATTTAATTGAACTCAAGCCTAATCTATTCACATATCATGTTTGTGTGAATTTGATTCAAGACGAAATACCAATTTATCATTGGAAATTAAGATGATTCATAAATGGCAGATATCGTGATGTTTATTGCTAGTTGACATCATATCTAAATCAACTTAATTCTAAAGGTTATTTTTTTCAATTAGTCTCTTCATCGTTTTTTCCTGTTAGACAATGCTAATTACTAATTAATCAAGGGTTGGCCAGATTGAAATAGCGGGACAAAAAGCAAAACAATTACAAGAAAGCCAAAGAGAAAGCAGTTGAATGATTTTATAGTAAACACGGTTTTAATTGATTGAATCATGTTAGACAATCAAAATAGACTAACCTTGAGACTGTGTATTATTTGTTTCATCAATTAGATAATTAGATAATTAGCTAATTTAATAATATAATCTTAACCTTGGTAGTCTATTTAGGCATCATTTTTTTAATGAATCAGTTGTACTTTTTGATCAATAGAGACGCGGAAAATGCTTGTGTTTATCATGAACATGCAAAAGCTTGTCTAAATTGTAGCAATTAAAAATGATCAACGGTAGGCTGATTGTGGCAATGAAAGACCGGACCATTAACAATGTCTTACAAGCAATTTACAAACCGGCAAACAGCCACTTCGTGGATATCCGCTTTAAACGGAAAAGTGGATTTACTCTTGAATTTACAAACAGTTAGATCATGAACCTCAAGTACATTCTTGTGGTCCTCTCAAATTATCATAAATTGGTTTTTATTGTATTTTTTGGTAAGTAAACAGTTAGATTATCATCTAGTTAATTTGAGGAAATTTTTCGTCCAATAACTACTGTTATTTGATTATTTCAATGTCTTCTTTTGAATTCATTTATCAGGCAAGAAAAATATTACCTTTCATTGTCAGTGAAAATTTACTTTTTGCTTAGTCTATTGTTTGACTGTAATATTGATTAGTTTGACATTAACATTGGTAAAAGATAATTCAAATACTCAGAAGAAAAAAAACTGAATATTTTTCAAATAATGTCACCTAATCACACAACTTTGAAAAGCATTAAAAAAAATGGACCATTAATTATTTAAGCAAATGGTTTATTCATTGGTAATTATTGAGTTTGACAGTTGAACCTTTTTGACTTGATCACAAAAGAAAGTTGAATAATTACTATCTGATACAGAACTGAAATGATGTAATAAAATGATGCAAGATAATCATGAATTTACCATGAAAAAGGCATATGCTGAGTTGTCCATGTAAACAAAAGAATCATTCTGCAACAATCAAGACAACTAAAGCGATAGACAATCGGTAGACAATTTGGTAACCAAGTTATTGTAGATAAACCCAAAACCAAATGATTGATTAACATGGTTAAATTTATTCAATTGTTTTTTCCTTAAATATTTAACAAATCATATTTTAAATCATCAACAAAATGCTCAGAGACTTTTGGGTTTATTTGGGTTTACTTGGGTTTATTTTGGTAATGAACAATATGGTGAAAAGTGAATGAAAACGAGATTGGAAAAGCAGAGGGAAAAGCCGGTTCCTTACTTTCAGCTCTGGTCCCGAAATTTGCTCTCCTTTTTCACTTCTAAAAACTGGTAATAGGAGGTGGAGCTTAATTACCGGTGAATGTTTACTTCCCTTTTCATTTTCCCCTAAAACTGGTATGAAACAAGAGCAAAGGTGAGTAAGCTATTCTCATTGAACCAGAAGCTGTTTCGCAAAAATAAAAACCAGTTTAGGTTTTGTGGTAAAATGAAGCTGAATTTTCGGAAAAATTGAAAATTTTGCTTGTCTCATGTAATTGTTTCATGGAAAGCATCATCAAATGATGAGTAAGCCTTCTTCAATTACCGTATTGACGTGAATTCATATGATTACCGTATTATCGCAGTACCGAGCCTTCAAAATGAGAGTGTCACTTTTAAAGGCACAACTTTGCGACAATAGAGGCGCAGTGTGTTTATGAATGATTAACTCTATGTAAAAATGTTGGTCTAGTTATAGAAATTTTCAGGAAATTTCTAGATTATGACACAGAAAAAACGCTGTTTGGGTTAGTAATTGTAACATTTTGGGAATAATGACTGGAACTAGGAAAAATCGGATTCTTGTGAATTACAAGCTTCATACGCAATTGAAGTTCATTGGTAACCAGTCATTGATTTGAAAGATTGAAAGATTGTGTTATAGCGAAAATTTGAAATAACCACTTTCCGGACTCAGTATTTTCATTCTTGAAAAAGCAAGCTTGAGGAAATCCCGTTTTATTTAAATAAAAATTCATTCAAAAATACGCACGGAAGGCTGATCTTCAGCACCTTGTATAAGTAAATAAACCTTTAAAAGAGGTTTTCTGTCAGTTCAAATAAAGGCGGTTCTCTGCATAATCACCTGATGTTACCAACCCCCCTATTTTTCCCCCTAAAACTGGTGATATCAGTTTTGTGGAGAGTCTGATGTGGATGATTTGGATGTAGTTAGAGCAACGTTCTTTTTGCTGTCTCTCATAATTTCACTTTTCCAATGTGATATCTGTTCAATTAACTAACGTCTGATTATCAACATTATTTATATTTTATCCAAGCATCGTATTCAAACTTTACCTTTATGTCTGTTTCATTCTAACCGTATTTAGATTCCCTGTTTGATTCATCATCAGTGTACTTAACAATTTTTGGACAATTAATTGGTAAATACATGTTGTTTCACTTTTCATACATTATTTGTTAATTCTGTGATTTTGTTTTTATTATTTGGTGCTTTTTTCTCATATTTCACTAAATTAATTGTTTATCATTTTGTGTGTTCACTCTTAATCATCTTGTGACTCATCTTTTACTCTGATTTGCTTGTTGTTAGACTTCTTTTTCACTAGTTATTAATGTCACCTTATGTCACTGTTAAACACAGTATAAACACGCTTCAACAGTAATTCGTTCAATAGTGTTTTTCATCTGAAGGTTGAATTCTTGTTTATTGCTCGTTTTGATTTGATTATTATGCTTTTTTATACTTTCCTTTTTTTGATAGCATTACGTTAGCGTCTTCAAATTTTCTCTTTTTATTCTTGACTTTTGTCAACTCTTTAAATTGAACGACTTTTGTGTGTGAGACAACCTTCCATATTTTGATCAAGATTTTTCTAATATCTCCTTCTAATTTTTGCTCTTTCATCGTTTTGTATCAAAATTTTCACAGGTCTAAGAAATTCATTTGTAATTTAAACTTAATTCAACTTTTATTCATCAAAATCACTTGGCCCGTCAATCAGCCGTGTCTCTACTCAACCAGCTTGTATCACCTCATTCAGTTTTGTTTTTTAATTTAAAATGTCTACTGGAAACATGACTGATTCTCTTGGTGTCTCGGTTGCCTTAGGCATGATCAAGACAGTGGTCTGTGCTTACGATTTAATGACTTTACCCCTTTACACAATTGTACAACAACCTTGGCAAAGAACCCGAGCCAGGGATAAAATTAGAGCAAAACCAGTTAAGGAAGGGAATTGCTACTCAGGTAAAGACTTTTGAAAACTTATTTATGCAATCTTATGAATATCGAATATTTAAATGAAATTATGTTTGCTTTTAAAGCCTAGAAAAAATGACTTTAATGTACTTTAATTGATTCATCTCGATTTATTTTTTTCATTAATCAGAATGGCGTCGGACTGATTCTCCTCCCGATCATTTGATGCTTCATGCAGAAACTGTTGACGAATTATTCGTGAAGACTTGTAAAGTATATTCTGATAAAAAGTGTCTCGGTTTTCGGGAAGTTTTTGGTGAAGAAGATGAAAAGCAGCCAAATGGTAGAGTTTTTCGTAAACTGATTCAAGGAGATTTCAAATGGTTCACCTACAGTGAAGTAAATCAAAGAATTACTAATGTTGCTCGAGGAATGTATTTAAGCGGCCTTAAACCTGGTGAGCCTGTTATGATTTTTTCCGAGACTAGGCTAGAATGGTTCTTAAGTGCAATGGCGGCATTCCGTCTTGGAGCAAGTATTGCAACCCTTTATGCTACGCTTGGTTTGGAAGCTTTGATTCACGGAATAAATGAAACTGAAGTGACACATTTAGTAACAACTTATGATTTGTTGCCAAAGATAAAGTCGATCATCAATAATTTACCTCACTTGGAATGTATTATTTACATTGAAGGTCCTAAAAGACCTGACCTAACTGGCTTTGGAAACATTAAGCTAGTCTCCTTTGCTCAAATTGAACTTAATGGTACTTCATCAAAACAATCTATTCAATTTGAGCCAAGGAAAGGCGATGATCAAGCAATCATCATGTACACCTCCGGTTCTACCGGTATTCCTAAAGGAGTAGTTATCACTCATAAAAATATTATTGCGACTATGGTAGGTTTCTATGGTGTTGTACACAGTTTAACCCCTGATAATGTTTACATGGCCTATCTTCCGTTGGCTCACGTTCTTGAATTAGCTGCTGAAAGTTTCTTCGTCGCAATGGGTATTCCAATTGGTTATTCATCTCCTCATACCATGACTGATAAATCAACAGCGGTCAAGAAAGGTTGTAGAGGTGATGCTCCTGTTCTTAAGCCAACCATTGTAGCAGCTGTTCCATTAGTTCTGGACCGTATAAAGAAAGCGGTGACTGAAAATATCGATGCTCAGGGACCTTTCATGAAAAGCTTTTTTAGGTTTGCTTTGGAATACAAACAATACTGGATTAAAAATGGTTTCCAAACTCCTTTACTGAACAAAATTATCTGTGGCAAGATAAGGGCCATGTTGGGTGGAAAAATAGAATACATGGTTTGTGGAAGTGCCCCCTTAGCTCCAGATACTTGTGATTTTATTCGAAATACTTTAAATGTTACTCTCATTTCGGGTTATGGTTTAACTGAAACTACAGCAGGAGCCACGCTTATGGATTTTGATGATTACAGTGTTGGTCGAATCGGACCTCCTCTTTATGGACTCTCAATTAAATTATCAGATTGGAATGAAGGTAAATTTCATACTTTATAATGTTATAATGTATAACCTCGAAACCCAAATTTCTTATAACTCTTATTACTACTTACTATCTATTTTTCATCTAATCTATCATAATAATAATTACCTTTTTTAATATGTATTTAGGTAATTATCATCCTCGAGATCAACCAAATCCACGAGGTGAAATCATCATTGGTGGAGATTGTGTTACTGCCGGGTATTACAAGAATCCAGCAATGACAGATGAATTTTACAAAGTAGAAGATGGTAAAAGGTGGTTTTACACCGGAGATATCGGAGAAATTTATCCTGATGGAACAATAAAGTTAATCGACCGTAAAAAAGATTTGGTTAAATTACAATATGGAGAGTACATTTCACTTGGAAAGGTGAGTGATTTCTGGTCTCGAAATAAAAACGAAATTCCAAATATCTCACATTTAAATATGTCAATAATTAACACTTTTTGTTCTTTTTTCATTACAGATTGAAACTGAATTAAAAATCTGTCCGATTGTTGACAACATTTGTGTTTATGGTAATTCTTATCATGACTATTTGATTGCCATCATTGTACCGAATGAAAAAGCTCTTCGAGGCTTAGCCAAACAACATGACCGAGAACATTTAACACTTTCCCAACTCTGTAAAGATCCTGTTATCCTGGATGGAGTTAGAAAAATTTTAATCGATCGAGCAAGCGAGGTAAAACTGAATCGAACCGAGGTACCAGCCAAGATATTACTTGTCGATGACGATTGGACACCAGATAGTGGATTAGTGACAGCAGCCATGAAAATTAGGCGTAAAAATATTCAAGAGGTTTATATTGATGAAATCAATAGACTGTATAATACAATAACCTCTAGTGTTCAATCAGCTTGATCCCTTAATGTAATTATTTTATTATATTAATCTTATTGTCTTGAGATTATCTATTTTGTTTTTATTTTCTTTAACCGTTAAACTGTATATTGATTTGTTACTTACATGTTTTTGATTTCAATAGAAAATTGTGAATATTAAAGCCCAATAAATCGAATTCTGAGCTCTATACTTTGTTGTCTCTTTTTCGGCTTTCAATGTCTTTAATGCATCTTGCTAATTGTTGTTTTAATTTGAAATTAATCCAATCCAATAAGAAGCTGAAAAATTTACTACATGAGTTGTTTACGTTACGTTTACTTTTCTCATTCAGATCTAAAAATTAATAAGCAACTCGTCATACTAATTAAATCAGTCCAGATTAATTAGATCAATGGGAAAATAAATCAAACAGGAAAAGCATGTCAATTTTTGCATTTACTAGATCTAATAGTGGGAATAGGTGGAAATAGTTTATTTGCACTATTCTTCGAGCACTCGAATCTATGAATCTCCATCATGCTTGACTGTAAATTAGTTATCGGAAGATGAATGAACTCAGCCATTTCCATAATCAGAAAATACATTATAATGATGCATATTGAAAGGATAAATTAATAGTTCAATTGGAAACCGATAATCAAACAGAGGTTATTTAAGAGTATCAATGAAAGTTCAAGATCAACGACTTAGAGCAAGAAAAGTCTTAATCAATATTTTATTATAATGCATAAAGTCAATGTCACCAAATTTCGTGGCAAAATTGTGACTAAATTCAAAAGCATTCAGAAACCTTTTCTTATGTTAATTATGATTGGTAATCATTTCTGTTTGTAAAAATGCTCTTGTATTATCAGCATTCGGGGCCAGGTTGGACTATTTTTTGGTTTTATTCAATCTACTTACTAAATCATGGTTCAATTATCGCTTGTTATTTCAAAATAAATGCATTTGGATAACTTAGAATCAACTATCGATAGATAATCATCTTTTATAAAATAAAATAAATGCTAAACACCATTCTCTATGCACTGAAATTTCCATGACTCTTTTAAGAATTCATTTCAAGCTGATATGATTCGTATCTATGAAAAAGATATAAGTTTAATAATAAGTCTTTTACTGAATTAACATTTTAAATAAGATATCACTAGCAGTTGATCACAATAACAACCTAATAACCATTCTGAGCTTTATAATTTTATGCTTCTATTAAAGTATTCAATGTTATCATATTCGCCATTTCTTACAATTGATAGACACATTTAGTTTTGTTACTAATCGACTTTAGGGTAATAACAATTGACAATTTTAAATGAGAAAAGTAAATTGCCTGTAAGTGTGTTGAATGCAGAAAAGATACTGTTTACTGACTGTTTACGAACTCGTTACTGATCAAACTATTAAAAATGTGATAAAATTTGTTTTGGAAAATTATCGATTCGAATGATTTTAATCGTTAAAAATGAATATTCTTCAAGTTTATATGCTGCATTGAAAAACGCATTTGGTAAAAAAAATTTAGTAGCTTTTGAGTCTCTTTAGTAGCTCTTGAGTAGTTTAGCGTTTATCACAATATCACAACGTTTCTGCATATTTTTCTTTCAAAGAACTCGGTGAATTTTCATTTACTCGGTAAATCCTTTTTGTACTTAAAACAGCATTTCCTTTGATTTATAATTGACAATTCTGTAAGAAAAATGGAAGCAATTAGAGTTGGTGTTTACAACTTTCATCCCTTTTTGTATGTAGATGAATCAAATAATGTAGCGGGCATTTTAGCGCCTCTCATTTACAATCTCTACTACTTCATCATTAATAAAGTGAATACAACTTTTGTGCTAAGTCCGATAAACTCAGTTGATTTCTGTGCAGATAATGGAGTTTGCACGGGCTCATTGATTTTGATGCAGAAAAATGAAGTAGACTTTAGCCATAAAGTTGGTCTCAGTGGTTTAAATCATGTCGGAATCAATTTGACTTTAACACCAATAATTATGGAAGAAAACTGTTACCTTTCTTATAACAGCAAATTACAAGTGAGTTTGACGAGTTCATCATTTTTCGACTTTTTCTCATCATTTCAGTGGACATTTTGGATTCTCACAGTTTGCTCATTTTTCGTCTTCATCATGGTAAACAATGTTTCCCTCAAATTTAAACGCTCCGTCTCTTTGGTCCAAATCTTTTGGTCACATTTTGATTACGTTTTGGGCCAAAATTACATTACAAATTGTGCTATCCAAAAAGAATCTTTTTTCATGGTATTCATTATTTTCCAATTGCTTGTGAATAAATTATTAATGGCTTCCCTACGAACTGGTTTGGTGCAGCATTCGGAATATCTTAAATTGGAATCATTCCATGATATTTTAAAGTACAACTTCACAGTGAGAATCGCCTATCCAACAGTATGCAACCGTGAATTCCAGAAATCACTCGATCCTGTTGTTCGCAAAGTTAGAATAGAGCACAACGTCTATCAAGGAATACCAACACATGAGCAAATATACCAGGCATTGAGAAAAGATGGAACCGTTACTTGCATCAATGATGTCAATTTTCACGCGGCCAAAAATTTTGCCTGTTTTCTTTATCAAGCAGCAGAAGAGCGTGAACCATTGCGAAAATCAGAGCGAACAGTGTTTAGATGTAGCTTTGGATTCAACTTGAATAAACTGGCTTCAGCGAAAAAGCTAAAAATCATAAAGACTGGTCTTTATTCCGCTTTTGAAACTGGATGCATCTCATCTAGAATTATAAACAAAATAACCAAAAGATGTTTCCTTAAATCTGATGCAGCTCCGTCTTGTATCAATCATAAATATGATTCCACCGAGATCAAATTTATACCCATATCGATGGCTTACCTGAAAATTCCGTTTGTTATTTTCTTCTTCGGGCTGATCATAAGTGTTTCAACGTTCATTATATTACAATGTAAATTTTACATTCACCAGTTTCTTTATCGCAGATCTCTTTCAACTTGCATCGCAACGACTTTCAATATTAACTTTGCTGAAGAGTTGTTTTAACTAAAGAAATTTTGTTTTCGATACGCTTTAATCGTTGTCACACTAATTAAATTAGTCTATTTTAATTGTACAATTATTGTAATGGGATAATCACTAAAACAAGAAAAACATGTCAATTAATGCTTTTACTGCTATCTATTGTTTTATAAATTCACTATATTTCAATTCATAGATTTTAATTTGTGTAGGTGGCGCAATTTTGTAGAGGAATAGCTTTGGTTTACGGTTTTCTCTTTCATTCTATTCAAAAGTTGTAAAAGTGACTCAAAGCTACTATTCGAAGTGCAATCATGGATGATGATGAAGATTGTTCCAGACCGTCGGATGAAGTGTACAAACTTTTATACGACGAGGAAGATTCAGACATTGATGATGGTAATTTCAAAAGAACGAGACACACTTCATCTAATGATGGTGATCGTGATGCCCCGAATGAACGACTCAAAGTTAATGTGACTGCTGCTGGTAAAAGTGATTTATCAATCACTAGAACCATAAGATTTGATGACGCATTGTTGAAAAGAACCATTACTAAGCCAGTTAAGGCTGTCAACTCTTCTGGTTCTCCTGGTTTTACTTCTCCAGTTAAACCAGCAACATCTTCGACTGATTCTGAAAGCGTCTTTCAGCGACTTTCTTTTCCTGAAAAAAATGCAATACCTCAGCAAACAGTTTCATTGTCAACAAATATTCAACGTCCAACCATTCCAAAATCATCATCTACTATTTCTCTGAGTGAAAAGACCTCTTCACCTTCAGTTAAGCGAATACTTGATGTTCAACGACCATCTAACAGTATTAAATTGCGGCCCAGTTCTGATGCAATCAATGCACCCATTTCACGATCCAATCTAGATCTTCAACTACCTCAAGTAATTGTACCGCCTAAATCGAAGCCAATTTTTTCCGAAAAAAATGTCGACTTGGACACCTTTCTCAGGCAATTGAAATCAGAGCTAATAGCTCATCGCTCCTTGGACCGTCTTTACAACCGCTCTTTATTTGAGTTGAGTGCAATGAAGAAAAATCCTGATTTTCAACAAATTCTCAAATCTGTGGTCGAAGGAGTACTGTTTGATCCTGAATGTCAACCAAATTCTGATTCAGTGCATAAGATCCTAAAACTTTTACAAAATTTTGATCTGGATAATACAAATACATGGACATTTCTAATAGACCGCTCTTATACGCTCATCACTGAAAATACAGACGCTCATTACAAAGTAAGTAAATTTAGAATCCCAATTTCGCTTGTTAAATCTTTGACTCTTTTTTTAATATTTCTTCATTTTCTTTCCAGAGACTCTCATGTTTCATTGAAATGACTTTCAACCACCTTTTTCTGACAAAACTTAAACTATTGCCCTGCACTGCTTTGAATTTGTTCAAAATGGCCCAAGTTTCTCCATTTAATCCAGCCGTCAAGCCACGTCCAAGAGCCCCTGTATCCAATCTAAAGAGTAATCTTGTTAGTGCTCTACAAGAAAACCAATAAGTTGGCCATCATAAGTTTTATTTTCCAACCACTTAATCAAATGTTAAATATTTATATTTGATAAAAATGTGCAAGCACTTTTAAATATCAAATTGACGCGATACTCAGCTTTATCAACATTGTTGCTAAAATTCATTGTAACCGACATCAAAGGTTAAGTATGTAGCTATTAATAACTTACATGTTAACCTTTGCAAAAAAAATGTTTATTAAAATTTAGTTTGTTTCTCGACTTTTTCATTAAATTACAAAAATTGACTTTATACAAAAGGCAAATTATAAAATCTTATTTATAATTATTGGCGCGCTAGTGAAGATCTCGAATAATTCAAATGAACACCAATCCAATTGATGAGAATTTTAACCTAATCTGATGAGTATTCGTGATGTTACAGAGTGAATGTTATTGATGAACATTTGGCTTTAACATTCTTTAAAAACGAGGATTCGACTTTTTAAGCATGGCCCAGACTTTTTTGCTCAAGAAAGACTTTAATCAACTCGGAATGGTCATTAAAACCATGTGAAGCAATAACTCGACTATAACCCAACGGATCATAACTTTTTCTCCAGTAATGGAAGTTTTTATTATGGAATGGTTCCTGTTTCAGCTTTTTGGCCAATATTCCGACATAAATATCGTCAAATTTGAAATGTTTTGTATAAAGACTAGCATAATACATTTCTTTAACTGTCCGAGATGATAAAACGAAGGCTCCAGCCGTCACATAGGGTGGATATTTTTCATAAGGATAATCTTCCAATGAAATGTACCATTTAGATAGTTTATGTCTCATTGGCGATGAATTGCCGAAAACGAAACCTGCATAGAGACGACCATCTTTAGGAATGAATTTGGATGGGATTGAATTTCTTGATTCCAAATCATCTGGATCATAATATGGGCGACGAATGAATTTTAATAAATTTTTTGGTGAAACATAAAAGTCATCATCCACGAAGAGAATAGCAGCTGTCTTTGGACAATTTTGAACGATCCATTTCATGGCCATCATGGTCTTGATAGTATTATTGAAATAAGTATCGGTGAAATCAGCTTGTACAATGTCTCCATGCCTCCTAGATTCATTGGCAATCAAATTTTCACACTCATCAGCTGATTCTGGAGTACTGGAGCCTTCACAATTTCCGAGTACAAATAATCTTCTGATGGGTACATCTGAAAATCGATCTTCCCGGCCCCAAGTTTTTCTAATTGCATCACGGGAGTCAACATTACTCAAAGCACTTTTTATCATAAACACTAGATTTATCCTATCATACATGGTTTTAGTTCGTTTTAGTCTATTCTTGGCAGGACTTTCATTCTCATTTGCACCATCACCAACATAACCTCCGTCACCATCATCATCTTCCCCTCGTGTATCATCTCCGTCTCCATTATCTGGTGAATTGATTGATGATCGGCATTTATCCTCGTTAGGAATCAAAAAGGTAAATTTGTACTCATTGATTGGGTCCACATTGACTGGCAACTTGGTTCCATGGATATGAGAGTCAACAATTTCTTGAAGATTGTCCAACATTAAAGGATAGTTGAATGATGTGTAACCAACTTCAAATACATGGACAAATAAGCCAAATTCATGAAAAACAATGAACAGAAAACTTAGACCGGCAATATAGAGAAATCTTCGTTGAGTTAACCTTTTGTATCTCATGATGTAAATTTCAGGTAGTAATAAGCACTCTGCAAAACAGTCATCCGATGAAATATAACCATTTGTTGAGCTGATGACTAAGAGCCATTGTGTTCACAAAAAGCACTGATTAAGGTAATCAAGAAAAGGAATCATCAATATAATTATTAGCAGAAATAAGACTTAAGTATAATAGGACTGAAAAGAAGTTATGTTTACATGCTATAGCTACTAGCATTATAGCACAGAGAGTGGCTGGAGTTTGTACTACCAACAACCTTGAGCTTTTAATCTCACCTATTCTTATTGATATTTTACTATCAATCAAGAACTGAATATTAGCAATTTCTTTCGAATTATTGGACAGTCCATTGATCTATTGTTGATACAAACTAATGCTTTCGTTTAAATTTGCAGTTTCAATAAAAACAAGCTAAGATTCAACAATTGAGGACACATCATGTCAATATAGTTTAAATTTTATTCTGATAAACACTAAATATTACAATAATAGGTACATTCCAACGTAAAATGGATTAGTCGATTATGGGTCATTTCTATGACTAATTAATCCATTAAATTTTCTGTTTGACCAGCCTTAACTTCATACTTTGAATGTTTCCATCTATCATTGTCGTGACCATTATGTTTACCGAACATAGCACTACGGTTGAAAAATTGTGATGCTGTTTCAGCTTCAATTAAACGGTCTACCTTCATGTTGTAGTACAAAAGCAAACTAAATCCAATTAAACTAGGAAAGAAGCTTTGATATTCTCGCCAAGGGTGTCTAGAATAGATTTGCGAGAAATGATGAATGATTCGTCCACCAGCCATGATTACTTAGCCTCTGCTTCTTTAGCTGCCAACTGAGCTTTATACCGTTGAGTCTTTTGGTAATCCCAATTGATTCCGTAAGCGGTCAAAAGCGGACAAACAATGTGAACTTTGTATCTGTAGATCACTTTACCGATATTAACCAACATTAATTAAATTAGCAAAACCAAATTAAAAAATAAACAAACAATATTCAGTAGACTTAACCTTAACATGAGATGAAAGCGCCTCCCTATGAACATACAATTACTATGACAACAGTGGCAGAAAATTCAAAAAGATTCCTAAACTGACAAACTTTTTGGTAATCAATTTTAAATCAATCAGAATTATTTCGATCAGATATATTGTATTTGAGCTTAAAAATCTACAACAATATCTAATACAAGATGGAAATTAGAGCATTTTATTTCAGTCTATATTTCAACCAGCAAGAACAATGGATACTAAATATTTAATATTAAATTTCTGCCATTTATTAATTTTATCATGAACCTAAGTTAACCAAGAAAATCTTTAAAAAAACATTTGATGGTCCTTTGAGAAAAAATTAAGTAGCTACAGGTAAAGGTTCTCCTTCTTTAAGCCACGGATGAGCTTTAACATGGTGAAGAGTAGCTCTTTTCGTAGGATCTGAGGTTAAACAATCAGCCAGTAAACGACTGACACGTTCTGATAAATTGGTAGAGACTCTTTGAGAATGATAAGGACCGAAGGTGAATGAAGACAATTTGATTCCCTTAGAAATGTATTGAGTTGGGTTAAATGGTGGATCTCCGGTAACCAGATAATAAAAAATAGCTCCCCAAGACCAGATATCACCCATCTTTGGATCAGTAGTTTCACCTTCAATAATTTCTGGAGCCAAAAAAGGGTCAGGATCGCGATTAGAAGATGAATTTCGAAAAGTTCCAGTCTCAATATCATAACAGAATCGTGAAAATCCAAAGCCAGAAAGACGAATACTTTCATTTGTCATGATAAACACATTTTCTGGAGTTATGTTGCGATGAGCGATACAATAATAGTGAAGAAACTCTATGGCAGAAATCAATTGGCGAAGCCAGTTTCGTGTTTGATCTTCATTAAACTCTTTGTTTGTCTTGATTTTTGAACGATAATTTCTCAAAGTTCCCATTGAACAATATTCCGTGTCAATGAAAACGTGTTGAACAACCTTACCAATGGCATTAACCTTAATTATGTTTGGATGAGGATGTTCAGATAGAAATATCAAGATATTCAACTGTCTAGGTAAGAATTTTTCAGCATATTCTTTACGACTTTTCTCCATATTGATAACTTTGATTGCTCGCTTCTCTCCTGTCGCAGGATTATTTGTAACATAGCTTTTAGTAAATGATCCTTTTCCAATCAAATTTTCTTTCGAATAATCAATTGTACCAAAGTCACCAAATAAAGACATATAATCGGGATAGTCTTTAATTTTGTTGTGCGCAATCAAGTATTCCAAATCATGTTGGAGCCTATCTTTGAGCTCAAGGATTTCCTTCAACCGTTCAGCATCTTGAGACAGTTGGACTTTTTTACGAAATTTAGTCATTCCAGGTGTAATTACAGGCATGATGGTTAAAGTTGGTTTCCAAACAAAAATTCAATGTAAATTAAGCGAGGTTTAAAGCTAAAATTGAGATTCCATTTTGAAATTGATGAAACCAGATTAATCCAACAATAATTTGTAATATGGCTTGAATCAGGCTCTCTATACCAACTGTAAAAATACAACAAAAGGATTCGATTAGTAAATTATATCAGATTTTAATGTTAGTCATTAATTTGGGTTATACGGATATTGTTAATGGTTTTAAAGTGTCTATTTTAATGAGTGATATTTTAAAAGTTGTTATGAGTGAAAAATCATTTGAAATTACCTTACCTGACCATAAATCATCGGAGAATGACACTAATTTGTTAAGGCCAGACGGAACCAAAGAAAAGGTCAGTGAGAAAGATGAATCGTTTGAGAAGACCATTTCCAAGAAGAAACCCAATGAACTATTAGATAAGTCACCGAAAGTTGATGCGGCAGAATCATCAACCATAGACAATTTAGCTAAGAATGTCGCCAAATTGGAAGACAAACCACTAAAAGAAACGAAAATTGAGCAACCGGAGCGCATTTCATCTACCAATGAACCGTCCATCAAATCTATTGAATTAACTGATAAGCTTGGTAATGATCGAGCTTCTGAAAGTGAAAATGAAAATCATGTTAGCAAAGTTGGGCATCAACATGAAAAGAGAGTCAATTTTTTTGGTGTTCCTTCCATAATGGATTCAAAGAATACTCGCCGGTCATCGACATATCTTATTGACCGGAGTGTGTTGCTTTCAAATCAACAATCAACCTCAGCTACCTTTATAAAAAGACAGCTGATTATTTTTAGTGTTTCAGTTTGTTTTGTCGCCTATGTTTTGCTCAGGCTTATTCGTTCTTGATGTAATAATATCTAATAACCTAAGAAGCAATAAATTAATCAACCTTTCAACTCAATTGAATTGTTATATTTGATTTTCTTGTTTACTTGTCTATCTCTGTTCAATACGCTGTTGACGCTTCTTGAAATCATCAAAAATTCTGACATTAACACGTCAATCTTACGAGAAAAGACCAATTTTATGAAAAGATAATGCGGATATTGAGAAATGCTTATATTCAATAATTGTTTTACCTTTTTGTGTCTGATTACTGGTTTCAATCTGATTACAATGCTCCTCATTCACTTAGAAAAATTGATGATATCAGTCAATTCACTTTGTTTTCAGTATCTTATACGATAGGTTAACTTGTTTCTTTGTGTTTGTAGAGGCTCAACCTTTATCTAGTACTTTCTGTAAAAATTGACATTATCTTGACATCCGTTAACTGACAAAGGAACCAAATGAATATTGTTTTACCTTAATATCACTAGCATGAAGTCCGGTCCATGAAGTATCAAGTATTTTTCCGTATCAGTATTTAAGGTAAGTCGCAATCATGATATGCTATCAACAATGCAAAATGCAACTGGTGAAAATTGCGCTCCAAAAGATGTTAGTCCATGTTTAGATATTCAATCCAATTTTATCTTCCTCTCCGTCCACTCATTGATCGAGATGATGTCCATTTTTGAATAGATTATGATCATTTGGACCATATTAATAAACGTGTATCTCCAAGATACTTGAAGAGTTCCTGATAAAACATCTATCAGAAAATGGTTGTGGTAAAACATCTCAATCATTATCAAGAACTTGATTTTACTCACCTTTTGAAGTTCGCTTAATCCATGATCTTGAACAGTTATTTTCCAAATTATAAAAAAAAGGTAAATCAGCTGAGTATTAGCTAGCTAATTGTATAGAGGCGAACTGTTTATGAAGCTTTATCATTATTAGCTCAATTATGTTGAAAATTATCACAGATATGTTATAAAATGATAGATTGATAACAAAAATATGGTTTATTATGGTAGCCGAGAGTTAGAATGAGATACATGCAATATCTCATACCAAACAGGCTGAGTTCACTTGTCTCTAGTTATCAGGAGCTTTCAATTATCAACGTTTAATCATTTTAATATTAAAACAAATATCTTTGAATAAAGGCAACTTGTGCGTAAAAGAGGAAAGAAGGAGAGAAATGTATTAAACACCCTTAACGTTCATTTCTTTGTTTCATTTTCAAGTCCAATGTTTTTTGATCGTTTGCTTTTTTCCACTATCTTCTGATCTTTTATCCTATTTTATTTCAGTTACTCAGAGCTTTCTCTTGCCTTGGTTAAAATACTGGTTAACAAATTAACCAGATTGTCATTTGTCTTGTTTTAAACCATGACTCAAGTTGCTGCTGAAGGTAACAATAGGCAGAAAATATGTCGAGTTTGTTCAGACAAAGCAATGGGATTCAACTTTAATGCCATAACCTGTGAATCATGCAAAGCCTTTTTCCGACGTAATGCTTTTAAGGGTGAGGTAAGATAACGTTAAGAGTATTTACTTATTTTTAGCTTTGGCTAAAAGTGTTGAAAGTAACCGTTTATCAGCAAAGCTGGTAAAAGACTATTTGTTGGACTAGTGTTATCCATAAACACATGTACCGTTCATTAAATTGCGCCTCAACAAAACAATGTGTTTAATGAATTTACTCAATTTGTATTTCTTTATTTTTCACAGAAACTTCGGTGTCCCTTCAATAATGATTGTATTATTGATAAATCAACTAGACGTTTTTGTCAAAAGTGTCGCTTGGAGAAATGTTTACAGGTTGGAATGAAAAGAGAATGGATTTTATCCGAGGAACAAAAGAAAATCAAACGAGCCAAGATAGCGGAAAACCGTATGAAGCGGACTGATAACCCTTCGGATGGTCAAAAAGAGGATAGATCCAAAAGTTTGAGTAGTAGTAAAAAGGATTATTCAGGTCGGGATCCAGCTACACCTTCATCAAATTTTTCGTGTTCATCTTCATCTTCTTCTCATTTTGGTGATGACAATGGTGCATCTCAATGTTTATACAATTTTTCTGGTAATTTGGCTACCTCACCTTTTCGCGATTCATCAAGAAAAGAATCAAGTGTTCATCACTCTGCTGCACTCGATCCTTTACCCATTAGCAATGATCAATCCAAATTGATAACAAACAAAACTCCGGTTGATAGTGTTGAAAACCTTGAAGCAAGAGCCGATAAATTTGCAAGATCTACTGCTTCAGCACCTCATTTACTCGATAGTGACCTTCTTCATAACAGTTGGATATCATTGATAACAGATCCCTCAGCTAATCCAGTTCCAACTACAAGTAAACCAAGTTTAACAACAAACCTGTTAGGTAATCACTATAATGGTCTTATTAATTATCATGTGAATGTAGGTGATTCCTCTGATACAGGTAGACCAGCAACTATACCATTAATGCCAAATTTAAGGTTCCATACTCAACCAGGATCTCGATTGGAACCAGTGACAGACAATAGACGAGATTTTGATGAAAGAGAAGAATCTTGGAAGATCAAAGTTAACCATCGTATATTAGAGGCCAATTTTGTACCAATTTACTTGCGAAATGATAAGAAGGATTTAAACACTCTCAATGAAATGGAGATTGACAAGCTAAACGAGTTAGTTCAAGCATTTTCAGCAATTGATGAACCCATTTTGGATCAATCGTGCGCTGAAGATTCGGGAATATCTGATGTTATCAGATTTTCTGACCTCGCTATTAGAAGGTTAATCAAATGGTGTAAAAAGATTCAAGCTTTTGCAAGCTTGTGCCTTGAAGATCAAATGGCGCTTCTCAAAGCAGGATGTCTCGAAATGCTTTCAATGAAAGCTTCATTTAATTTTAATCTTGACGATGAAAGTTGGCAGGTATTACAATCTTTTTCTTGTAAAATTTTAATCATTTCATCTTTCTAATTACCTTTCTTCGTAAAGGATGCCTACACAAAAAATGGTTTAAAGTTGACCATATTTCGCCAAGCAAGCGAAAAGCTTTATGAAGCTCACCGTCAATTCATCAGAACTTTCAATCAACGCTGGAGAACTGACCATAAAGTAAATCTACTCCTTGTTGCAATTGTTTTATTCAATCCAGATCGACCTAATTTGCTTCACCCAGCAACAGTCAGGTTCGTTTCAATATTATTCAATACATGGGATTATTAATATACTTCATTGACAACTAATCTTTAAATTTGTTACAGATTAGAGCATTATACTTATATTTACCTGTTACGTCGTTACCTGGAAACTAAGAGTGATTCTCTGTGCCAAGCTCGAACCGATCATTATAATTTAATGATGAAAATTGAGGACCTTCGAGAGCTTCATGATAAAACTGTACGACTCTATTCGGATGCAGGACCAGAAGTGGTTGGACCATTATTAATTGAAATACTTGATCTAAAATGAATCCTAAATTGTTGATAATAGAGTGTATTTATCAATGGAATCATATTGTTAATATAATTATACAATGTAAAGAAAATTAGAACATTTTTATATCAAAAATTGTCAATATTATCAAGATTTTTGACCAAAAAAATTGTTTAGGTAAGGCTCAGTCGCTCTTTATTTAATGTTGACGCTTTCACTGTTTTATTTTTGCCACAAATACTTTACATTCACAACATATCAGGGATTTTGTCATTTTATTGATTTAAAATTAATAAATCTTTAAATTTAAACCCATATCAACGATTATCCATTGATAATCTTTTCATTTCCATAAACTAATCTAACCTTTTCTATCAAATTAAAGAAGCAACTTTCGACTGGATCCAATCACGGTAGAAGTAAACATCAGTGGAACCTTCCCTGTCACCTTCAAGATATTCATCGCCAAATGAAATTATTCCAACCAATTCATCTTGACTCGGAGTTTTACCCTGCACAATAACTGGTCCACCAGAATCACCAATGTATACAAGATCTTCATCCGTTCTTTGGGTAAATAAGATTCCATTCAAATGAGCATCATTATTTATCAACACTGAATCTTTCTTTTTCAGGAATTTAGGTGATCGGCCACTTTCCGTCAACCCATAACCAGCTAACACCACAGAGGTTCCAATTGGATAGTGTTTTGAAGCTAAATTGGCAATTCCATTCTTGGCCGACGATGAAGAGGATAAAGGCGACTGGGTTAAATCCAGTTTGATGAGTGCAATATCATTAATTGGGATTCCTTCATCATTAACAGTGTAATTTTCATGGACAATTAATTTGGTTCCATTATTGACTTGCCATTCAAATGGTTTTCTTGACAAAAACAGACCTCTCTTTGATTTTGATTGGACCATAACCATCTTAGCGGGTTGACCATTATCCCTATTCAATGGAAACAAATGTATTTACTTAATTTAATTACGGACATGTTTGGGTTTACTTTTCAACTTGAAGTATTGGCCATAAAGTGTATTATAAATGTTAAACTTACCACACACAATGAGCTGCTGTGATTACGATTGAATCCTTAATCAAGGTTCCACCACAGGTTGGAAAAAAATCACCCAATTGTGTAATAACCTGGACATAATAAGGAAACTCTCCAGGTTCAGCAAATTTACCTCCAATGATTCTTGGACCAAGTTCTTGTTGAAAATTTGATTCCTGGCTTGATTTTGATATTAACCTACCATTAACGCCAACATAATTCACAATGGTTAACAAACAAAGTATTGCTGTTATCAAATAGGAGTCCATTGAACATTCACTTCTTAAACTCTGTAAAGCATGTAAAAAGCTCCACAGGTTAAGTTGATTATTTATTGACAATCAAAGCTTTATAAGGTACCGGTAATTTGCTATTACCGAGGTCAACACAATTTACCTTCATATTGATCAAAGAGCGATTCAGTTTTAACAAGCGATCATGGAAATATTGCAATATTTCTTACAGTTGTAATCTTTTTACAATGAAGTCAAAATAAACGGTAAATAGCAAGAGATTCACATTGAACTCAATTGTTTTAATTAATTCTCACCTAAGCTTAACATAGCCATAAAAATCAAGGATAACCAAACTGTAAATTGTAAATGATTGACGACCCATTTAATTTAAATCATGCTATTTAACCTTGATCTCTATTTCCTAGGATAAGGGTAATATCAGGTTCAGATTATTTACATTCTATATCCTAATCATTCCACAGCTATTGTTGATTGTTGCACTAATTCATATACTTTCGCTTAACCATTAGTATATCCAGATGAATGCGTCCTTACGTTGCTTTATTATTCTTGATTCAAGCTTTGCTATTTTGCTCGATGGTTAAGATAATTGTTGATCAAGAAGCTTCAAAACCATTGATTTAAGTCCTCATCGACAGTTTTTGTAAAAAAGATTTCTTTGTTTTAATTAGTAATTGTATTTTAAATATCATTCCTTTGCAAACTGAAAACCGGTAAGATTAATCAGCAAACCAGATAATTCCATAAATAGATTCCCCAGTGCTGCAATCATTACTAATGATAATGATTTAGTCGTTCTTGTATTGTAATACATGTACCGAGTACTGTATTTTAATCTAGATGTAATGATAGACTGGAAAATCATAGATCAAAGGATGAATCAACAGATGATGTTTCAAGTTCATGCAAACCCAAATAGTCAAATTGAAGTGGTTCAGTAAACCCAAAAAATATTAGCTAAACTCATTGATCATGATTTTAAATCAGAAATGGTTTCATTTTGAGGAAACACATGAAAAAATCAAAGTTATAAACTTAATTATTTTTATTCAATGACTTGACTTGGATAAATCACTGTCATTGTTACACTTACAGATGTTAGTTTGTTTATTATTATAATATACATACACATTGAGTATCCAATTTTTCATATTGAATCTTTGGTAGACATCATCAGAGTAAAATGATGTTACAACAATTAAATTGTAATCACAAAGATGGTGATGATGATAGTGATGTTGGCGTTTTACAATTTTTTAATTACGGATTGGTAAAATAAAAGGATGGGATGAAAACAATATCAAGATAAATGTTAAACGAAAGATGAACTTTATCGAGTGACATCTTATGGTAACAATGATAATCTCTCTGTTTTTAATCAAATCAAATATACTCTTTTTAATCTAATATAATATATAAACTTAAACATATGTCAATTAATATTAAGAATAGACATAACTTAAATTTGCTGGATAACCAACATTGGAGAACCAATTTTCCGTTGCAAATACCGAGCATATCTTATCCTGTAAGCCTTTTTTCAGTGTTCACGAATGGTCGATGCTAGAAGCCTAAGATTTGAACCACGAGCTTCCACAAATTAAAGAACCAACAGGTCATTAATGGTCACTAGGTTGACTGATTTCAAACTCACATTCACACTGGTTGTCGTTTGTTTCATGGTGATAAATTAAACCCTACAGGATAAAAAACGCCCGGTATATCAAGCTTACAAGCTTGTTAGTAGTGACGGTTAGCGAGCAAACTTAAAGTCAACTATCATAATACTGTATATTTACCATTGATTGGTGGAAAAATACGATATTCTGAGTTTCCAATTGTTCCTATGGAATTAAAATAATATAATATAATAATGGAATGGTTAATAAATTGATTGAGCTGAAATTGCTTTTCTGGTTTCCGTGAGGTTCACCATTTTTTTGCCATAGCTCAAGTCACTTTTCATTTTCGGGCTTTTTTAACAATTAAAGTTAATTTTCTTGCCAATTAACATTTGTATCTTTGGTTGGAAGATGTGTGATTAATAAATTAATGTTGATCGAGATGTTGATCGTGATTAGAGGTACAAAAAGTGTAAATATATGTATATATTTATATATTTGTAAGTAAATATGTATCTTGACAATTGGTTAAACATTAACATACCTTACATTGAAAATAATGTATTAGAGGTGGTTGAGATGGGAGACTTTATGATGAGAAAAGGTTTCAATCTGTATCTTCTTTCATTGTAAAATATAACAATTAATTATAACTTATACAATATAGAAACAATGAGAGTGATTAAAATTAATAATTTTACAATCAATAAATTGATAATATCACGTTTACACATAGAAAGTTACTGGGCACAGACAACAGCATTGAAGGAAAACCCAAATACAAGTTAACCCTGTTTTTGTATACAGCAAATGGATGGACAAGTAACCCAGTAAATTATTTCTTAATTGTTTACAATATTCATTTAATTGACGATTGATACCAAGACAATAATGTCGATGATGAGCTGTTAAACCAACCATCAAACATTACAATCTCAAATTGATTTGCAGTTAGTAAAACAACAGCAACACATTGATCAAATTGTGATTTTAAAGTTGCCGGTTTTCATAGGTTGCTTATGGTAACAACAATAACATCATGTTACTGTTGGTCAATTTTATTGTAACGGTTGAACACATTGATTAAGGAAGGAATTGGTTTCACCTTTTTTGCCATCGCAATTAGTTTTCCGTTCAAATCACAATTTACTTAATTGCTATCTAACAATGTTTTAGCTCTTCGGAATGGCCGAGCTTTGCGTTTACCAATTTTGTCTCTCCAACTTTTATCCTTTTCTTTGGGTTTACTTTTAGTTTTATCCTCTTTATTATCTTTATTACCGTTGCCGTTACTACTGCCGCTGGCACTGACACTGCCACTTGTACTGACACTACTGCTAGTACTGGCACTGCCAGTTCCGCTGATGGAACCTTTATTACTTTCAATTACAGGTTTGTCCGTTTCTTTGCCTTCCTTTTTGCCAACTAATTCACTTCGAAGTCCATTTACTGTAATATGGTTTAGATCGCTATTTGAAATGTAACCCGATGTACTTGTTGATGCTGATCTTTCCGACCGAGCTGACTGCTGTTGTAAACCAAGTAAATCACTTCCAGCTATATTGAGTGCATGAGGAAGAGTCATTCGTCTAAATCTATTTGGTGATTCAATTTTATGTAAATCAACACTTCGAGGATCAGCCTAGATAAACACGCAAAAAAAGGAGAAACAAGATAGGATTGATCAATGAAACGAGTATAAAAAAACAAATGAAGGAAAAACTCGAAGATTATAAATACTTGGAGATGGAGTTTAAGGAGAAATGATTGAAATTAATGTTTCATTATTTCATTATCAGTAACTGATCAAGACGGAAAGTTAATGATAAAAATAACCGGGTTAACAATCAATAACAAGGTAAGAAGCTTTACCTATGAAATGCAAAACAAGAAATACAATATCCTAATCTTATTAAGTTATTAAAAGTTTAATCATTTTTATGTTGAAGGGAACACACACACAAAAGCCTAAATCTATTTCTACTGTCAAGCAACTGTGATTCCAAGTTGAACCTATTTCAAGATGATAATGCATATAATTACCTGGAAAGCAAGAGCATTCATGATAACATGGTCCGGAACAACTCCCAATGGATGTACTTCTCTCATCAATACTGTGGCTGGAATTTTGTAAAACTCGATACACTCGAAAAATCCAGACATAACTTCCCTTAAATCAGTTGAACCCGGTGAAGCATCACAGTACCGTTGGCTCCATGAAAGAGCAGCATGAAATTTGGTCAATTCATCGGCTTTCAACTCTTCACGTGATAAAATGAGGCGAACAACATGTTCAGGTAAAAGGGCAAAAGAACCTAAACAAAGAACATCATTTCCATGTTGATCGACAAACTCGAGAACCTTTGAAATTGGAATAAAGGAGAAGAAGAACAATCAAGCCAACATTGCCAATTGTGCAAACAATTACACCAACAGTTGGGAATGGAATTGATAAAAATGTAAATATTTGAAAGAGAACCAGAAACGAGTTGAATATATCATTATAAACAGCAACACTTTCATTTCAACTCCCAGTTGATTAACATGGATTATCACCTTCACTAATGAATTCACTGAGCCAACCCTGTCATTGGACCCGGCAATTAAAATGAATATCAACAAGAGAATTGAATTGTTCACAATTTTATTTCACTTCTCCTCCATCTCAACAATTTACTCATCTAATCATGTTTCCATATTGTAGTCAATGTGCATTTTGTAGACATTTTGTTTCAATTGATTAACTTTTCTCATCTCATTTCCTTTCGTGTTTTTTTTTCTTCAATTTTTCACTTTTAACAATTCAGCCTTTTTTCACACCTAAACATGATGAATCGGAAAAGAGAAACGGAAAAGAGAAATTTTTTGATTGAAAACTAGTTTTATGTCTGTTAATCCTTTTGTTTGCTCGATCAATAATTTGAATTCACTAATGATATTTTCATCCTTAAACAATTCACATTAACTGTTGACTCTTTTAGCCAAAAACATTTTGACTATTGATTCAAAAAATGTAAAAAGGTTAAAGGTTTTCATTTTTAATTTTGCCTTTCAGTTTAGTCAATTATCAGATACAAAAGATGAACTGAAATCTGATGAAATAAAAAAGTAAATTTGATGACAACAAAAAAAGGTTTGATGAAAGGCAAAAAGAGTAAAAAAGGGATTCTTTTTTGACTAAATTACCAAAAATAGCTCAAACTAACAATTTTATTATCAAAGTCAAATGATTTAGATGAAAAAGCTATTTTTGACAATTGAAAAGCAATCAAAGGCAAACCTGATCAACTATAGATTGACTATTTGATTAACATTTCAAGAGACAATTCATTTGGCAAACCTGAACCGAATCAACCTTTTTTCATTTAAATTTTCGAGTTGACAAATTTTGTAAGAAATAAGTTTCAAGTATTCAATTCTGTATATGAATGTGTAAATGTGTGAACAAAGAAATCAGAATTAAACTATATTTTGAAAGAAATCAAAAATTTCCCAAAAATGTTGATCATATCATCAGTAATAATGAAAATTCAATAAACCCAATTTTCACATTCTCAACTCATTTATTTATAGTTGAATTTTCGGTAAACATTTTTCTTAAAGATTCACAATATTGAAAGATAATTTGATTTGCCATTTGAAACAAACAGAGTGCATTTCAATCAACGAATCTTAACAATGGCTCATGAAACTCAAAGCTCATTGAAATTAATGTGATAGCATTCGGAATCTTATTAATAAGTCTAAAAACTCATCGATCTCATCCTTTCAGTACAAACATGAAACTGATTTTGCCTCAAAATCTTTTACTGAAATCGCTTCTGGCCAAGTTTCTTTGAAATTTAATCGTCAAACATTGCTATTGGTTTTTCATGAGCTTTTATATCATTCACAGAATTTGCTGAGTTTCATTACTCGAAAATTTTCTTACAACAAAGTACATTAAACATCTTTTTCATGTTAAAAGTTTCAGATTTGTCAGCTTTCATTAATGCTCAGTCAGCTACTTAAGCCATGAAAACCAATTCAGATTACATTTTATTTTTCATATTTTCCAGTCAAGATAAAGATTGGTTAAAGAATCTTTGAATTGATTTTCTCTTCCGACTTTAGAACAAGGAACAGCGCAAGCAATTGATCCTAATAACTAAACCAGATTAATGAAATTCAGTGAATAACTGACGCTCTCGCTTTAGTGAAAGTCACAACCAACAAACCCTTTAAACCTAAAAACCCATTTCAATCTCTTTCTGAATTTTACCTTTCAAATATTAACCAAATCACGGTTGTTACTGGAAAGACACAAATATCAACAAATCGACAAAAAATATGCAAAAACGGGTATAAATGAATTTCTTTCAGAATGAGTTGTTGGTTCGTTTGTAGGGAAATGAAAACTGCATTCATTTGTACCAGTTAAAAATTTCTCTGATCCACAATTTTCAAGGAAATCCAAGCAGAAATTGAAATTTGGATCGCCTTTTGTACAACAAGACGAAAAGATTTTTTCATGGAACTCATTTTACTTATGTAACTTATTATGATAAACCAGAAAATGCACTTATTTTGAGAAATAAAGCTTTTCTTTTTCTGCAAAACAGATCAGTTCGTTTTTTAGTTAAACCGATGGCATTCTATGACCGTAAGAGACAGCAAGCTGAAATGGATTATTTATCCATAAAAATTATCGGTCCACATCATGGATTGAATAGTTTTTTTAATTTGTCAAAAGTTCTCTTGATTTAGGCCAATGATCCTGAAATTTTTAACCTCGATATTTCGAGAATGGTGGCACCTTCAATCATCATTCCTTCGCCAAACATTAGGTTTCATTATGGGCTATAACAGTATATGACTCAATATCGAATAAAATAGAGCCAATTCATTTAATAGTAAAGATACTTCTAACGCTTAAGATTTTTCTTTAGTAGCCATTCAACTTTATAAATCAAGTATCAAAGCTGTCATCATAAATAATAGAATGCTATAATTGCTTTTCTAGAATCTTGAATGATTTTATTATTTCGATATATTATAGCGCATAATGAAATCTATCGTTCGGTGAAAGAATGGTAATTGTAGATGATGTCATTCCCAAGATATCGGAACTCAAAGTTTTAAGACCAATGGCCTAAATCAAGAGAACTATTGATAAATTGAAAAAACTATTTAATCCGTGATGTGAAGCATCAATTTTTATGGACAAAAAATAAGTCTCATGTTGCTAACACTCAAACCTACAGAAAGCGATCGGTTTAAAAGAAAATCGAACTTGATCTGATTTACAGAAAAATAAAATGTTATGTCTCAAAATAAGACCGTTTTCTGCTTGTTCATCGCAAGTTAAATCAGTGAAATTAGTTTGTTGAAAAAATATGGTTCCAGAGCTGAAGAAAAGCCGATCGAAGTTGCAACTTTGACCTCGATTTGCACGAAAACTGTCCATCGGATGCATTATTTAATAGCACCAATAGACTGAGTGTCTCTATGTCCCTAAGAACCCACCAAGTCTCAAGTCTTAACACAAAGATTCGAGTCTATGGCAGCACTCTTTGCATTTCATCTCAATCTTAACCAGAAAATTGGTTTATTTACCAAGAAATGGGTTGAGATGAGTTAGTTTTGTTTAATAAGCTATTTCTCGTACATTTACAACCCAAAATTTATGCCTTAAATGCGCTAATGGAAAATTATTAGATTGCATTCAATTATCAATTAGTAAAGGATTAAATTGGCGCAAGAATGATGATTCTAGGTGTCACCATTCTCGAAATATCGAGGTTAAAAATTTTAAGATCATTGGCCTAAATCAAGAGAACTTTTGACAAACTAAAAAAACTATTTGATTTATTATGTGAAGCAGCAATTTTTGTGGGCAAATAATAAGTTTCAGTACTCTAACTCTTACTCCCATAGAATGCGATGAGTTTTAGTAAAAATCGAACTGATCTGTTTTGCAGAAAAAGAAAAGTTTTATTTCTCAAAATTAGTATATTTTCTGATAGATGATCAGAAGTTACATCATTTAAATAAGTTTCTTGAAAAAATCGGCTTCCATTGTCGTACGAAAAGCTTTGGAAGTTAAAACTTCGAACCCGATTTTCGTGAACTATTGATCAGAGAAATGTTTAAATCGCAAAAATAGACTCATTTTTGATGTCCCTACAAACCTCATAGAGTCTCGATTCAAAAGAAAGTGCTTTTTACCTGTTTTTGCCCATTTTTCTTTCAATTTTTGTGTCAATTAGTGTGAAAATGTGTCTATTGTGTCTTTAAAGCCACAATTCAAAGCTTAATTTGCTTTGCAATTGATTTAAATTGTATTATAAGATGCTAAATAAGCGACTTAAAGAGATGAAAGATACTTACTCTTTGCACAAGAGACTTTGTACATTTATATTGAATATATCGTTCGGCAGAAGCCAATAAGGCGCAAACAGTATCAACGGTAATGCAACAGGAAACAAAGCCTAAACAAGCCCGTTTCAGTTCATCAAGACCATAATAATCAGCAGCATTGAGCAAACCTGAAAAGAGTTTATTCAAAAAATGAAAACTTGGACAAACATCAACAACAACATCCTTGATTGTCCAACAAGAAATCAAAACGAAGCAAAACAAAAGCATAAATCCCAACACAATAAACAGCAACATTAAACACTAATTAAAATTTTCCTCTTGAAACTGATGATAAATTTCCTTTCAATACATTTTTTTACAAATATGAAAACCCAAAAACTAGCGATTTGGGTTGAATGAAAAGCCAAAACAAAAAAAGTATCAACAAGAAAAATGGCGAAGAGAAAAGCGGAAATTTGAAAATCTGGAAAAAAATGTAAACTTTCCATGATAAAGGGAAAACTGTTTGCTTATTGAAATTGAATATCAATGTCAACTATTCAAAATTCATTGTGAAAATTTCAATTGACTTGATAATGGTATTATAATGTTAAACGATCTCTTGGAGTGAACAAAAGGCAAAAGGTAAGATGAAAAATGAGGAGTGAAAGTAGACAGAATCAACCACAAGATGAAATAATAAAGCCAACAGTAAAGTAAAAATAGGATGGAAAATTTCTCGTATTCTCATGATGGAATCATTAAGAGTGAACAGAATGATGACTTTTATCATGATATTCAATGGCAATTCAATAAACTGCAATAACATTTCATTCAATTTTGATTTTTTCTCCTTCTTTTCCTTTCCCTTCAACCTTGATAATACTTTTACTTCCCAATATTCATTGCATCTTTTACCATCTTTATGGATATTATGCTTGAACAGAGAGAAAGAACCATTCAATTGAATTGTTCAGTGTTTATTTGAAAATGTATTATCAGAGGGAAAATGTTAATCAGATTCAATGTAATATCGTTATTCAATTTTTCTTCCTGGTTCAACTTTGTTTCATTTGATTATCTTCAAGTTTACCTTTAATCCAGTCAAACATATAATAATGTTTTAAGTTGCCTATTAAAGGCTTTTATTAATATTGAGATTTTTATGAAAGCAAAATGTCTTTTGTCTCTTTATGTTGCTGTTAACATTTTATAACTTTACCTTGACTTTGACACTTTTATATCCTAAATCTACTTCCATCTTCAACTAAATCAATCAACTGGCAGATTCTCACTCCCAGTTGAACCCAATTTTGTCCTTAATTCTTGTCAATCCATCGTATCGATGAAAATGATAATACCTTTAGTATAAAGAGTAAAATATTTTATGAGATTGAGTCAACAAACCTTTTTACTCCACACTTATGCTTTCTAATGGTTATAATGATGATAAGCATAATTATCATGATAATCTATCATGATGTGTTCATCATTATTAACCAATTTGAAAAAAGCTTACCAAATAGATTTTCATAACATCACTTGAAACTGTTGAGTAAATTATTCAAATGGATTGCCAAATGAACAGTTCAAGTGCAATCTTTACATTTATCATCAAAATTCATCTTAAACATTTGATTTGGATTCAAGTTGTAACCTTTAACATTTACAAACACTCGAAGATTCCAAAGCATTTTGGTTAATTTTTCACACTTGAAATGGGGAAATTAGCAAATTTCAATTTCCATCAAATCATGTTTTACTATTGAAGCGTCAAAATTCATCTAGACGATGGATTGGAAAGAGATTTTTAGTTGATTAGAGTTTGGGTTAAAATTGAAAATCTGGTTGAATTTTTTTCGAAAATTGAAATTTTCTAATTTAAAATGGTTTGAGTGATTGAAGGAAATGTTTTCAAAATTTCGTTAAATTATTCCTTGAATTTGCACATTTCAAGTGACAAATGTGAAAAAGGTTATTAGTTTAATATAAAATGTGATATGTGACAAGACAAACAGCTTTTGCAAACACAAATTATGAATTTTGTTGTTTCAACCTCCAAATGGCTTGGGAGTAATTTTGACTAATGACCTTTGATAACCTGATATTTACCTCTAAACCTGAAAAGACAAAAGAAAGTTATTTTTCATTGAAACTGTGACTTGAATTTGCAAAATAAAAGACAAAATTATCTGAAAGATTGATTGAGAATCGAATTGAAAAGCGAGTAAAAATCTTGTTTTATTTTATAATTTTATTTCACTTTGAAATGATTTTTGATGAGAAGAAAACAGTCGAATTTTTATCCTGGAATAGATTTTTCAGTGTTTTCTTTTAGCAACTTTTCTTCTTATTGAAAATCATCATCACATGAATATAAAAGAAGTATGAAAATGGAACAAGTGATGATGAAGATTGAAGCATTACCAGCTTTTACTTACTTTAACATGATGATAATAGTAAAGGAAATGCTGACGATAATGATGATAATGATGAACTGAATAAATATGAGCAAAACTTGCATGCATATAACCATGAAAATTTAAAGATAATATGCAAATGTGAAAGAACAAGGTAAACAGAATATAAACAGATTATGATAATAATACATAATAATAAGGTAAATAAGGAGAGATGGAAAAGAGAGAAATGGCTTTGACTTGGTGAAAGGTAATATACTTTTTTTTCGGATTCCCTTCTCTTTACCTTGAAACTTGAGTTTTGCATTTTCACACTTTTCACTCCCTGACCATGAGAGTGAATATGATAAATATAATGATAAATATGACAAAGATGACAGAGATGAAGAGCTTTCATCTTTTATCTTCAAACTTATTCACATGCAACAAAATAATAACATGACTTGTTTATTTTCAGTGTTTTTACTTGTGTTTATCTTTTCCCTTCAACAGATCAATATTTATCGGTCGCAAGCTTTCAAGCCAAAACCAAGTATCGATTAAAATGTTGAATAATATTAATAAATTAAGGTTGAAAATATTTGCAAGTTGATCAAGGATTAACTTTGGTTTCAACCGAATCTGGATAATTTTAAAATTCATTTTAAACATTTCACTTTGACTTGAACTTGAAAAAGTGGTTAGCATTTGAAATGAATAACTAGAATGATCAATTGTCTGTTGTTTCGAAGTTTTCTGTTCTTTTATTTCCATTTTGCTTGATATTCATATTGATGGGTTACTTGTTGAAGCAATTGAGGCAATGGATCGCAATCAAAAGAAACGCTTTTTGAGATTTAAAAGCAATTTAGTGTTCATTATACATCATTATGGTCAGATCATTATGAAGAGAATAGGAAAACAAGATAAGTTGCGATCTAATCGTTTTAATTCTTGTTTTCAATTCAACTGTTCCTTCAATTTTGCAAACTTTATCGAAATTGTGTTTTCATGAAATGTTAAACACAGAAGTATTGAGTTTTTGTAGTTTCTTGAAGTCATCAGAGCTTTTTACAGCTATTTTTCGGAGATGATCATTTAATCCAGTTCAATGGGACAGATTTTTAATGTTATTTCAAGATTTCTCAGAGCAACATTCAAATTGCATCTGCAATTAACTTCTGAATCGGTAATTTTCTGTTGCTTTCTTCTGTTTTTGATCGAAGCGATTTTCTAGCATCTTGATTAACCTCAAAACTTTGTCAATCCTTCAAAACTGACTGAAATGAAAATGATCTTTCAATGCAAAATGATGTTCTTGACTATTTCGTGTAATAAATTGACAACTTTCCGTCAAATCGCTCATTTTTAGGTAACAAGTTTCTGAAAAGCTAATCTTTATGTTAACAGTTTATTATACAATTTAGACAGTTCAGACTCTTGGATACGTTAATGATTAACTTACAATTTGGAGAAGAGAAACTAAATGCAAACTAAGAGTAAAAGCGTTCCAAGTTTTTGATTGAAATTGACTGATTAAAAGTGAAGTGAACAATTTGATATTTTTCAAAGCTAATTGAATGATAAAGATCAATGTTCTTGACCTCTATTTGCTCTTGCTATTATATTTCCTATTAGAATGCAGTCTTTTGTAGATCAACTTACCTATTCAATGGTTTGATGTTCATGTTTATAACATCAAGAACTTTTTTTTGCTTGCTTTTGCTTCTTTTTCTGGTTCATCTTCATTTTGCCTTTCAATAATATTATCATTATCTTTATTGAAAAATAAATGTGATGAAAAGAAGAGGAAGAAGAGCGAAAAAAAGGAAATGTCATACTTTCTTACATTTCTTTCATCATTCCCATCATCATCATCATTTTGGATATTCAATTTACCTTAACAGTAATTGAAGGTAAATTATTATTTTTTGGTTACGAATGACAACTAACCTGGCAAAACGACAAAAGTTGAACCACAATTTAGCTGATCCAAGATGATAATGATCAACATTTCTCCTTTGCAAAGATGTCTAATGTAATAACACAAAAGGATTGTTGAAAAGCCCGAGATAGGCATCAAACATTTTAATAAAAACGTTTCAATAAAAGGTAAAAATGAAAACAATGCTAATGATCATTACGAGTTCAAACACCAAACATTCGATAAACACTTTTGTCCATGAATTCAATCGAAACCAAAAGCTAATAGTTTTAAAAAGCCTTTAAAATCTCATTTGATCAAACATTGTGTTTACCTTTTAATAAAGACTTGCTGGGAGTTTCATTATCTTTAAACTAAACATAAAAACAGTTTGAGTAATAACAATGAGTGATGAATGAAACAAAAGAAGCTTTGTTAAAGACTTTTTATATTAAGAGTTCTTATATCAACATGTTCAATCTTAACAATCAAATTAACATGATTGAACATCAACAGAAATTAGTAATTCAGTGTAAAACTGGGAAAACAAGGGAAAAAATTATCATGTAACAAGCAAAATGTTTCATAATGATTATGGTAAAGTGTAAAGTAAAGGTAAAATGAATGGCAAACCAAAAGGTAAGGAGAAAAAAAGTCCTGAAGGAAACATGAATAAGAATAAGCATGTAATAAAAAAGGTAGAAGAAGACAAAATTGAAAGAATAATCAGAATTTTTCTCTCATTTTTTTCTTCTTCTTCTTCATCTTATCAATGTTAACATGAAAAGTAGGAAAAGAAACAAGAATGCTGAGTTATCATATTTTCTGGTAAACTGGTTAATCAAAGGAACGGTTCTTGGTACAT